AGCTTGTCGTGCAAGAGGAATGCGTGCCATTGGTTTAAGTGAAGAACGATTACGGGAGCAGGTGTGTTTCTTTCAGAAAGACTTGGCTATTTGGCTTGGTTCTTTCAAAATTTTATCCATCTTATGTTAAGCCCCTTTTTTAGCTTGGACAATGGCTGGAGCTTTCGCTTAATGATAAGATACCTCCTTCCCTGCTACTGTTGTCAAGAGCATTATACTTACCAGAGGATATCTCATTTACTGACAGACTGAAGGCACTTGTTCAAAGTTTGCCGGAGGGTGAGTACTTTCTTTTCAGAGTAATGGTTTTCTTACGGTTTACAGAAATTTTTCCACGTTATTTTTTGGCTAGTGTTTACTTAGTGAGCTATTTTTGTATAGGCATTGCTGAAAGTACTCGGCAGAAATTGACTGAACTAGAAGGTGGAAAAGTGGATCACAAAGCCAGATTGGATTTGATCAGACAGATTGAAGAGGCGATTGCAAAGGAGAAGGCCATGGAAGAGGAAAAGAAGAAAAAAGAGGAGGTAGTTTTTTGATTCACATGTTTTTCGTCTTTATAGAAGAGTGCCTGTTATTAGAAAGTTGGAGGCAAAAAGTGACAAATTTTGAAACGCGCTATTTGATTTTTGGCGCTTTCCTCCTTTTCCAACGTTCTTTTTTTGGTCATAAGGAAAGGATCCTCCCCTAATTTTGCTGAGACAGAAAGTACCGCAGACTGTGGCTAGGAAGTAGTCATTCTTCACAGTTTTTTTCGTACGTTTTTGGGAGTCACAAATAATAAAACACATTCGTTTTTGCACTTCTTTGATTTGCATTTCAAGCTTACTCAATTTGAAGTATGCATATCTTTTCAGAAGGTTGAAACGATCAAAGCGGAAGGTGAGAAAGCTCGTGTTATTGCTGAAGGAGCAGCCGCAATAGCGGAAGCTGCCGCCGGAACATCAGCGAAGATCGCTGAAGCAGCCGCTGCAGCATCTCAGGCCATTCATGCAGTAAAGGTGGATAATTTTTGGCATATCACTATACTGCTTTGGCTGCTTTTGTCATACCAAATTGCTTTATAGAAAGACTTGGTAGATGTTGTGCAAGAAGCTGTTGATCATGCGAAAGTTTTGGAAAAAGAGAAAGCTGAAGCTGCCGAGGCAACTGTTAGTTTGCGTTTTATAGGTCATGCGTTTCTTTTCTCTTATTAAAGATCCTTCTCTACAAATCTAATTTCTGGTTATGGTTTTATCTACTACTGATTGACTTTCTCATCTTTAGGTTGATCCCAAAGATCTCTCATCAATCGAACAAATCCTCGTTGGCGGGCCAATA